TGGCACTCTTTCGCATACAATCGTCTATTTTGTTATATTCACTGTTTTATACGGTATTCGTAATAGAAATTCATATTTCATATTATTTACTGTCTTTAATTCAATTGACAAACTATATTACCAGCAAACGTGTGGTATTTTGTATTTATGTTGTGCATTTTGTATTCCTAGTAATTAAAAATTATAACATAATAGATTTCTTGTTTATTTATTTGGTAAACTTAGTAGATAAGTTTAACAGCAAGTTAAATTAAACATGCCATATATCTAACTTTTATATTAAAACTAAATTCTTATTGTTAAAAATAATAATATTTTATACCTGTATAAATAAATTCCACATACAATACTGTACTTATACAATTTTGTACTGTATGTTACTGTATGTGGTGGACATACCTTGTAAGGCATCAATGAACTTATTATGACAGCTATCACTGGATGTCTTGATAGCATTAGCACATTGAGCCCCCGATAGCATCCAATTCAGTCTTTTTGAACTCTTTTTACACAAACCATTGATCATTGACTTGATTGTATACACAGTTATTGCTGTCAACTGTTTAGCAAGGTTCTTCATACATTTATTCTTATAGTCTTCAATATATTTGGCAGAACTTATTATCTCACTATAAGATACAAATAATTTCATATTAATATGCTCTTCATTATACACATTTGTTTCAATACATACTCACAATAAGGCTTTACATCACTCCTGGACTCCGGGTATCTCCTATTCTCTACATTATTCATGATTACAGCCATCGCTGTGTCCACTGATTTCAATGACTCCTTATTGCATATTATTTCACTAAATATGTCTGTAATTTGTAACAGAAAGATCATTATTGATAATTTCATTTTCATAATACAATAAGCAATTGTTTAATTCAAAAGTAAATCTGATTAATAATGAATGAAATAAACAGATTTTATACGAACAGAATAATAACCCCTATTATTGCGGACCTCCTATACAACAAACATCCTATAAATATGGAAAACATCTTATATGTAATTAATGTATCAGTTATTTGTACAAAATATTTGTTTTAAAAATCACATTAGGTGTGAAATATTTGAAACAAAAGTTTAAATGAGTTAAATAATAAACGGTACTGTGGAATTTTGTTTTTAGTTATAATTTATAACTTATAAATAAAAGCCTACAGATTAAAAATATAATACTGAAATTAATCACTATTAAACTATTGTTATTAAAACCTAGTGGTAGACGTAGTGTGTATTTATAGTAATAGTCAATAAGTTAATTGCATCCTTGTACAGTATATGACATCAATGGTTACTAATGCCATGAATTGAAATATAATTTCAGATCAAATGACTGGAGTGGAAGTCATTTGGCGGAAACGATTTAAATGATTAAAAAACTAAAATAATGCCACAAAATAAGACAATTACTGACCGATGACCGAGGGTTGAGTGGTTTGCTACCAAAACTGTACCATTTGTATGATGTTTATCAAGTTAATTTGGTGGCCACTCTCCGGCATACGTTAGCAATGGCTTCATTGTGGGCTTTAGAGTAGTATTTAATGGGCATATGATTGATATATTAAATGAATTCAAGAGTTTTATACTATTTATACGCAGAAAATAATCATAGATTTTGTCGTATAAAAGACGGTGAATACGAAGGCGTACTCATTATATGGCATCACTCGTCGTGTTTAAAGAAAATGTAATTTTTAAAACAAAAACTATATTCAAAACAATAGGTCTCTGTTCTCAAGAAACAGGTTTGATTTTTGTTCATAAAAGTTATGGTCATTTGTTTGTGAAATTCTTGATTCACACAATTTGTTAATTTTATGAATTTAATTTGTAAACATGAAAATCATCCTCAAAGATTTTGGAGTAAGAGGTAAGACTTTATAAGTATTATATTAATTAACTTGTAAATTACAATAGCAAAATATTTTTAGTACTGTACCGGTATTTCCAGTATATTGTTTTTAAAGTGCTCTATTGCTATGTTATTTTAATATAATTTATTAATCAGATTAATTTGAATATAAGGAAATATTTAGCTTGAAAATAAGATTAGTTTTAATTATAATTTGTAAAATTGCAATTTTTCATTCATTAGATGATAATAAAACACAAATAAGTTGAGAAAATATTTTAGGCTGCATATATTTTTTGTATATAATGCCTACTTTTAATTAACATTAATTTTTCACTTTCCCACAATTTAGTCCTTTAAATGAATAAAAATGAATAATAAAAAAAACCAAAAAAAGATTTACCACTGAATTATATTCTCAAAGTATTTAAGTACCTGTATAAATTTTTAGATGAGTGCCATACTTGGTAATTGCAATTATTGTTTAAATTAGATTTTTAAAGTTAAGATTTACTTTAGTTTTTATTGTCACAAATCTGAACATTTACAACAGTTTCTCACAATTTGCTGTTCACATCATTTGTTATGTTTTTTATATATAATTTTTTGTCTAATATTTTTTCACTATTCATTTACTAAATGAGAAATGTCTGAACACACGGACCGTAACTTTTAGTGTGAATTTTCCCTTTTAATAGTTGCGGAGTCCATACCATTCACTATGAAATTCATTCAAAAGTGTGAAACTTTTGGTGTATTTTAGTCAACAAGAGATAAAAAGTTTATTATTCTCTAAAAGAGTGAAAAATGTTTTCCATTTAAAATTATATTTTTTATTTTGTTATACAAGTACTCTATTTGATATAAATATATCCATTTTATACTTATGGTTTAAGCAATACCTACCGTTTGTAAGTATTTTTCAAAGTATTAATACCGGTAATTTGAAATAGTCTCAAACTGATATCTAATCAAATAAAACAAAATGAGTTTTCAATCGAAACTTATATTTATTTTTCCTTTAGATTTCATAGTCTTATTGAGGAAAGTCGTTAAATTAGTTTAAGTATTATTAGATTCATTGCAATTTGATTTTAATCCATAAAACATGCTAGATAAGTTATTCAATTATTTCTGTTTAGTTAAATAATAAAAGTTAATATAGTTTAAGTAAAATATATAACAGAAAAATTATGGTTAACTATTACTTTTATCTAAAAATATTTTATGACCAGTCTAAATAACTAATAGTGTTATAATTATGATAAATCATATAAATTATTATTATAACAAATAGTGTAGTTGATACTGTATGTAAATACAAAAACTAGATAATATTCTCCAAGATTTAAAATAATAGTTTATTTTAGAGTTTATTTTACAGCAAATATTAAAATATTTTTTGTTTTCAGTTTTCTCTGAATTAAGGAAATGTAAGCGAAAATGAAGTTTTTGTCAAATATTTTCCGCATTTTTATTAATTGATGATAATTTTAGATTTTAACTGAACTTTTGTTGTATTCAATATTGACTTTATTTTGTGATTTGTTTGTAAAAATATCATTGTTTTCAGTTTGGCTTTAACAATTGCTTAAATAATATTAGTGATTATGTTTAAAATTAATTTTAATGTGAGTTTATTGTATAAAGATATTCCTTCTAACTGTAATACACCTCTAATTGCAACTACAGGTTAAGTAATTTCATTTTTATTTAAGTAAAAATTACTTAATTAATTATAATAAACATAGCAAATATATTAGGATTACTAATAAAGCATATAACTTAATTTTAATAAATTTAAATCATAGAAACATCTCATCAGTTATGCAAAAATAATGATAAAATAATTTATTCAAATATAATACAAATTGTTATAAAGTTTTATACAAATCAGTATAATAAATATTGTATAAAATTTATTTAATATTGTAAACATAATAAATATTTAACAAAACATTAAATCATATCATTAATGATGACTACACTTAAACGGGTTTACAAAATGTAGTCTTCGTATGGGTGTACCTTGCTAAGACGAGTCGTTTTCATGTAAACCCCTTTAGATGTGGTCATCGTTAGTGAAACGATCGACTTGTTTAACACAAATCCAATTCAAATCCTATTCAAACAGTAGTTTTAAACACATTTAAAGCTTCAAAAAAGACTCAAATGTATGGTTATTATAAAAATCGGTACTCATTCGCAATATTAGTATTCATTTGACATTAATTTTGCGAAAGAGTTACGAGTTTTTTAAATAATCAAAATCAACATGTAACTACTGGCCAACTTTGAATTCATATTATTCAAATACAAAATTGTAAATCCATATTAATATTATATTATATTTTGCATGCAGTACACTTGAAAACTAAGTTATATATAATACAGATATATAATTATAGATATATACAGTTATAGATATAATATCTACTTGGTATTTTACACAATTTTTTACTATTTGTAGTTAAACTTATTATAAAACTTGCAATCATTTGTTTAACATGACTACTTGTTTTATAAAATGATTAACTACTGAAAGCTTCATTATATTTTAAAAAATTACGGTTAGTAGACAGATATTAAAATTGTTTAGAAATAGATTTATAAATCATATACTGTAATAGGTAACAGGCATAATTTGAAAGTATATTTTGCATCTATCGATCTATACTTGTAGTTAATCATAGACCAAAATATTTTGTAATAAGATAATTGATGTTTTGGTATAAAAATAGCTGAATATAATAACTTACGCTGATTATTTGTTTTTCTATGACATTAATTCCTATTCTTCATAATTATATAGAATTAGAATTTAATGTGAAGTTTTGGGAATTAATCTCATATTGAAATGTTTATAACGAATGCCAATTAAATCTACTAGAGCATTTTAATAAATTTAATTTGTGTTATTTGATACTGTTAATTTGAATAACATTGAATAATAAAAGTTAGAAAATTATAAATTAGAAAAATAATGCCTTATTTATGCGTGTATTATTAAATCATTAAAATAATTAAATCGCTAATAATAATTTTAAAATTTTCAATTATTTACTAATTGCTTAAATATTATTATTACTAGTAAAATTTCTGGATAAGATAATTTTATTTGTTTATAATGATGGTCATAGTTTGTAAGTCACTAATATCTCAATAGTAATGCAAAACTATTGATAAAATTGTCAAGTTTATATAAATATTGACAAATTGATAATGTAATTATAATTAAAATATCAGTATTATTATTCGCGTTGGTTGTTGTATATAAAAATTTTCAAATACAATTTTGTTTTTAAAAATAAATATTTGATTTCAGATTTTTGTAGCATTTCCTCAATTTTTGAATTGAATCACATTTTCAGTAAAATAAAAATTATTCAATTATATTTAGTAATGACATTATTAGATATAAAAATTGTGTTTTTATTTATAACACATTTCTATCAAATTGAATCTCAACTCTACAGTACAGATCCGGACATAAAGTACAATGCGGTATTATACTTACCTTGGTCATAAATTTAGTATTATATTAATACTTAAAACAATACTTTAATCTAATAATAAACTTTTCAAAGACTCAATTCATACAATCGCGAGGTTTTGAGTCCGAGACCTATTGGGTGACCACAGATGACGGATATATCCTTCAATTGTTTCGAATCGTGAATCCATACATAAGTGTGGATCAGTTGAAGACAACTCCAGTGCTCTTATGGCACGGGATCTCAGACAGTGCTGAGGCCTGGCTTTTCAATAGGAAAGGCTATCTAAACACTGATGGAGTCTATAGTGAAGACAACGGCACTCTTGTCAATAACTGTGACCAGAATTTAACGTCTACTCTGGCCTTCACTTTAGCCGCTTGTGGTTGGGATGTATGGCTGGCTAACACCCGGGGTAACCAGTATTCAGACAAACACATTACACTCAATACCACAGGTAAACAATTGTGAGTTACTTTAATAATCTATAAAATAGTTGCAATATTTTATAAATAGATCCAAAATTCTGGGACTACACCCTCACTGAACAGGCTATCTATGATATACCGGCAACTGTTGGCAAAATACTTGAGTTAACAAATAAAAGTAAATTAGAGTTTATTAAAAATTATATATATAATTAAATTTTAAATTTAAATTATAGAGAGACTCACATACATTGGCATATCATTAGGAACCACACAAATGTTTATATTGTTATCATTAAGACCTGAATACATGCAATACATTAAACTCTACATAGCATTAGCACCGGTAGCATTTATGGGTAATATCAAAAGCATCTATAGAGCAATAGCACCAATTGAACCAATATTTAGGTATAACTTAAAATATTTTTATGTAATATTAACTAAATTGTTTAATTTGTAGACAACTGACTACAGGCTTTGGTACTCCACGAGAGATATCTGAATTTATGGGGCAATATATTTGCGGGAATATAGCCCTCAGATATATATGTGTTATCTATAATGATCTTCTCTATGGAAAGGATGACACAAACACTGATTTAGTGAGTCTCCATTAATTACACAATTATTAAAATTTTTAAAAATTGTCAAATACTGGTTAGGATAGGCAGGCCGTATATTTTGCCAATACTAATGACTACGTGTCCTCCCGTGTGTTCATACATTTGGCACAATTTATACTGACCAATAGATTTGCCAAATTTGATTTCGGGTTCACTGAGAACCTCATCCGATATAAGACTTTCAGTCCACCCGACTATCCTCTCCACGACATTGAGTCCAAAGATATTATTTTAGTCAACGGTTTGAACGATATATTGGCTGATGTTATAGATGTTGGCAGACTCGCAGATAATATTAAATGTAAAGATATAAATACAGTACATCTGAGCTTAAAAAGCAAATCCAGACTTATGAATGAGTCGAAAGATTTTAAATAAACTTCTATACTTTATAGTATCAAGTTTATACATATCGTAAGCATTAGAAAAATCTTTCGACTCATTCATAAGTCTGGATTTGCTTTCTAAGCTCAGGTATATATAAATGATTAATAAATTGTTATAATTTAAAAATAGATTTACGCCAATTAAAAACAATATCCTGGCCACTTTGGAATCATTTGGACTTTAATCAAGCAATTAATGAAAACACGTATCAAGATAATTATATTTTGAACACTTTGAGGAATTATGAGAACTAATAAACTAGCTTAATTTGGCACAATTTATACTGACCAATAGATTTGCCAAATTTGATTTCGGGTTCACTGAGAACCTCATCCGATATAAGACTTTCAGTCCACCCGACTATCCTCTCCACGACATTGAGTCCAAAGATATAATTTTAGTCAACGGTTTGAACGATATATTGGCTGATGTTATAGATGTTCAAAGACTCGCAGATAATATTAAATGTAAAGATATAAATACAGTACATCTGAGCTTAAAAAGCAAATCCAGACTTATGAATGAGTCGAAAGATTTTAAATAAACTTCTATACTTTATAGTATAAAGTGTATACATACCGTAAGCATTAAAAAAATCTTTCGACTCATTCATAAGTCTGGATTTGCTTTCTAAGCTCAGGTATATATAAAGGATTAATAAATTGTTATAATTTAAAAATAGATTTACGCGAATTAAAAACAATATCCTGGCCACTTTGGAATCATTTGGACTTTAATCAAGCAATTAATGAAAACACGTATCAAGATAATTATATTTTGAACACTTTGAGGAATTATGAGAACTAATAAACTAGCTTATGTATTTTATAAACATCTTTATTAATTATTATATTCAACTAACTAAAGAGTAAAGGATCCGAATTATTAAATTTATTATACATTTGACTTTTATTTGGCTATACAGTAGGCAAGCTATACCTATAGTGCACCATTAAATGTATTTTTAAAATTTGATTTTGCTGTAAATTTTAAATGTTAAAAATTAAAACATGACTAAAACACATGTTTTATTAGCTTTATATAATATTATAGATTATTAAATTTAATATAAAATTTTATTATAAAATGAATTTTATAAATCATTATCATAAAAAACTAATATTTTGATGGAACTAATAGTTATACCTTTTAAATAAATAATATTTATTTATTATAAATTTAAAAAGTGTTAGATTCATTCAGATGTTTACCTAACCATTAAAGTTTTTATTATATGCCTTATTGATTTAATATTAAAAATACAAATATTGTGTCATCAAACTTAATGATTTCAAGTAAATAATAATTTACATGTAACGTAAACATGACAATAAAATTCATCATCATTTTGATCATCGCCTTAACGAGTGAAGTGTTGTCTCAGTTTTATAGCACAGATCCGGATATCTTTTATAATGTGGTAATTATTTAAATATTTTAAAAAGTAATACAAAAATTAATTTGTATTTGCGATCATAAAAGACACAATTTCTGGAGTCAAGAGGTTTCGGTTGTGAAGAGTACGAAGTGGTGACAGAAGACGGATATATATTAAATATCTTCCGAATGGTTAATCCGTACATAAGCCGGGATGAGCTCAAGAATAATCCGGTGCTCTTATGGCACGGCATTAGCGATAGCGCCGAGGAGTGGCTTAGGAGTAGGAAAGGCTACTTAAATAGTATGGGAATATATAGTGAAGACAACGGGACTGTAGTCAACAACTGTGACAAGAAGCTGACCTCAACTCTGGCCTACACTTTAGCCGCTTGTGGTTGGGATGTATGGCTGGCCAACAGTCGTGGCAATGAATACGCGAATAAACACATCGGAAACTTAACCACAAACGGTATGTTTTAATTGATTTGATATGTATATATAAATTATATATATAATCTTACAGTTAGAGTCAAATATTTGCAGATCCTAAGTATTGGGACTTCACTCTCACCCAACTGGCCATTTATGACGTACCGGCCACAGTGGCAAGAATTCTGGAATTAACACAAAAGGGTAAAATTCATGTAACAAGGTAATATACACATGGTTTCATAAATAATACTTCTATTTTGAACATATAATAGACTCCCTTTCATACGTCGGACATTCATTAGGGACAACACAACTCTTTATATTACTTTCATTGCAACCAGATTTCCAACAATTTATAAAACCATTCATAGCATTGGCACCAATTGCCTACCTGGGCAATACTTTAAGCCTGTTCAGAGCTTTAGCACCCATAGAGCCATTAGTTAGGTATTGTCTGCAATGTAAAATGATCAGTCTTCAATATAATTAACATTGTAATTCAGACCCATTACTATAGGGTTAGGTCTGCCAATACCTGTCGCTGAATTTATCGGTCAATTCATTTGTGGGAATGTTTTGTTAAGACAACTATGCGTTGAATATAACGCTGTATTATATGGAAAAGATCTGTTTAATACCGATTATGTGAGTAAATGTAATATTAGCGCTCTGTTAGTACTAATTAATAGCAATAATATTACATTCAGAGCAGACTTCCGGCTATTTTCGGCAATGGCTTCGCCGACACCTCATCGCGAATATACTTGCATTTCGCGCAACTCATACTAAACAACCGGTTCTCTCAGTTTGATTACGGGCCCATTGAGAACCTGGTCAAATACAAACAGTTGGTGGCACCCGAGTATCCCCTCCACAACATTTCGTCGGAAAATATAATTTTAGTGAATGGTATGAACGACTTGTTGGCCGATGTTGTAGATGTTCACCGACTGGCGCGAAATATTCGCAGTAATTTGAAAAAATGGCAACATATATTTATTTCACTTTAAAAATTATTTTATATTTATTCTAAACAGACCTGGTTGATCTGCACACAGTATGGTGGACACAATGGGATCATGTGGATTTTGTTTTTGCAACTCATGAAAATCTTTTTGAAAATCAATATATTTTACGAATGTTAAGAGCTTATGATTTCTATTGAATGCAATCATTTCTAAATCATTTTATACGGTAATACAATATAATAATTATATAAATAACTATATGTTTAAAAAATAAATATAAGATATTTTTATTTTGATTTTAGAGTAATTTTGTTATTTAAATAAATATTTATATTATATAAAATATTAAATTAAGTTATCAAAAACGACATTAAGTAATGTATGATAACTGTGCACATGTGTTTCCTGTCATCATTAGTTTTGATAACTTTTATGATTTGGAAAATGTTTTAGAAATTACTTTTGTTAATTTTTTGTCAAAAGTTGTCTTGTTAATTATGATTAGTGCATTTGTTTACTAAACCCTAAAATAAATACTGTTAAAATATATTAACAAAATATTGGCAGATAGATAAATAAATTTATCATTAGATATAATTTATATGAATATAACCTGGTTTATTAAAAATAATTTTAAACATAATTAATTTAATAAAATATAAATTTATTTATTTACAGAAATTCACAAATTATAAACAATTATTTTTGTTTTAAAAATAAAATTGGCGACAACCTGACTAAATGACATTGTGCTGGATTCTATAAATAGATTTTATTTCATATTTATTTATAAACATATGATAATTTTAAATGTAATTTATAATAACATTATTGAATATTATTTATATTAAATCATTTCTACCTACCACCATCAATTATTAATGAGTAATTTTCATATCCCTATGTTTTTGAAATTATGTCATCCACTTTAAAACGATCGGAGTCGTTTTAGTTCACTATTGTATTACTATCTACAAAGTATATGTGTTTTTAAGATTATTATATCCATGTGCAAACAAACGGTTGTTTGAATTAAAATATACCGGGATAACTATGTTTTATTTTAAAAATTTCATATGAATTGAGATTATTAATGTTAAATCATTGTTTGTCAATTAGACAATAGTATTGTCAATCAATGATTGGATGTTTCCAACAAAATAAAAACCAATAATTATCAACTGATTAATAAGTTTTCTACTTTCCATTTCATATAAAAGTGTCGAATTTTTGTAATACAGTATAATATAACATAATATGATATTATTATTTTAGTAACTTTATAAATAATATAATTTTAGATATTATTATTATTAAGACAATGGTGTCTAAGAAGTTAGTGATAATAGACACGGATTGTGGTGTCGATGATGCGTTGGCCATAATGTTGGCCACGTATTGTCAAAAACAAGAAATGATAGACATCCTGGGGATCACCTGTTCATTTGGTAATACATATGTGGATAATGTGTGCAAAAATGTTTGCTATACTCTCAGAGCGAGTGAACTGGAGGTAACCTTTTGGACAAAATGACAATTGAAAATAGGAGGCATGTCTTTAGTAGAGTCTCCCAAACCATCCTTTCCGTAGTAATCGTCGGAAACGTATTTCCCAATTATGGGTCCCTCACAGCCCCGGTAGACCTTTATTTGCTATTTAGTCATAAACCATATATTATTTAAGATTCAATTGTCATTTTGTCTCAAAGGTTACCTCCAGTTCACTCGCTCTGAGAGTATAGCAAACATTTTTGCACACATTATCCACATATGTATTACCAAATGAACAGGTGATCCCCAGGATGTCTATCATATCTTGTTTTTGACAATACGTGGCCAACATTATGGCCAACGCATCATCGACACCACAATCCGTGTCTATTATCACTAACTTCTTAGACGCCATTGTCTTAATAATAATAATATAATCTAAAAATAATATTATTTGTAAAATTAGTAAAATGATAATATCATATTATGTTATAGTATATTACAAAAATTCGACACTTTTATATGAAATGGAAAGTAGAAAACTTATTAATCAGTCAATAATTATTGGTTTTTATTTTGTTGGAAACATCCAATCAGTGATTGACAATACTATTGTCTAATTGATAAACAATGATTTAACATTAATAATCTCAATTCATATGAAATTTTTAAAATAAAACATAGTTATCCCGGTATATTTTAATTCAAACAACCGTTTGTTTGCACATGGATATAATAATCTTAAAAACACATATACTTTGTAGATAGTAATACAATAGTGAACTAAAACGATTCCGATCATTTTAAAGTGGATGACATAATTTCAAAAAACATAGGGAAATGAAAATTACTTATAAATAATTGATGGTGGTAGGTAGAAATGATTTAATATAAATAATATTCAATAATGTTATTATAAATTACATTTAAAATTATCATATGTTTATAAATAAATATGAAATAAAATCTAAATGTTTATAATTTGTGAATTTCTGTAAATAAATTTTATATTTAATTAAATTAATTTTGTTTAAACTTTTTTTTTAATAAACCGGGTTATAGTTATATATATCTAATGATAAATTTATTTATCTATCTGCCAATATTTTGTTAATACAGTATATTTTTACAGTATTTATTTTAGGATTTAGTAAACAAATGCACTAATCATAATTAACAAGACAACTTTTGACAAGAAATTAACAAAAATAATTTTTAAAACATTTTCCAAATCATAAAAGTTATCAAAACTAATGATGACAGGAAACACATGTGTGTTATCGTCCGTTATATACCATAATGTGTACAGTTATCATACATTACTATACTGTCGTTTTTGATAACTTAATTTAATATTTTATATAATATAAATATTTATTTAAATAACAAAATTACTCTAAAATCAAAATAAAAATACAATATTTATTTTTTAAACATGATTTAATTATTTATATAATATATTGCATTACCGTATAAAATGATTTAGAAATGATTGCATTCAATAGAAATCATAAGCTCTTAACATTCGTAAAATATATTGATTTTCAAAAAAATTTTCATGAGTTGCAAAAACAAAATCCACATGATCCCATTGTGTCCACCATACTGTGTGCAGATCAGCCAGGTCTGTTTAGAATAAATATAAAATAATTTTTAAAGTGAAATAAATATATGTTATTGCAATGTTGCCATTTTTTCAAATTACTGCGAATATTTCGCGCCAATCGGTGAACATCTATAACATCGGCCAACAAGTCGTTCATACCATTCACTAAAATTATATTTTCCGACGAAATGTTGTGGAGGGGGTACTCGGGTGCCACCAACTGTTTGTATTTGACCAGGTTCTCAATGGGCCCGTAATCAAACTGAGAGAACCGGTTGTTTAGTATGAGTTGCGCGAAATGCAAGTATATTCGCGATGAGGTGTCAGCGAAGCCATTGCCGAAAATAGCCGGAAGTCTGCTCTGAATGTAATATTATTCCTATTAATTAGTACTAACAGTACTATTAATTAGTAATATTACATTTACTCACATAATCGGTATTAAACAGATCTTTTCCATATAATACAGCGTTATATTCAACGCATAGTTGTCTTAACAAAACATTCCCACAAATGAATTGACCGATAAATTCAGCGAC